GCCGCGCCCCGCCGGGCACCCGGACCGCAAGGAAAGGATGCATAAGCGGCGACAGCAGCGCCAGGGGAACCGCTGAGGGCAGCGGAGTTTGACTGCCCTCTTTGATAAAGGAAAAACAAGAAAAAGGAGATTTTAATTGATTTAAGCCTGGATTCGACTTCCGTGACGCTCTGATAAAATCTAAGCAAGGCAACAGCTGCAAAACTGGTGGCAAGAGCGGTTCTCAGCCATCAGCGGTGCAAGAGAAACAAGCAGTGGGTTGTTCAGTGCCATCAGAGATTTTCGCCAGTGATGCGGGTAATGACACAGAGAGCACGCTTACTAAACTTGTGGATAACACCACCGATGGTGCTGGGAAGGGCCGTGGCTATGCTGGGGAACAAGCTGAGATCTCAGAAATTGTCTTGACAAACTGGAAGAAATCTCTGAAAAAGCAGGATGCTCTTGAAGCGCAAGGGCAAGGTCTGACAGAGCCATCGGCTGCAGAAATGCGGATGGGGAACAGCCAGGTAGGTAGCAGCTCCGTGAAGAAGAACCAGGAGGTTATAGCAAACCTCAGGCTGAGCATGAATCACCATGCTCATGGCTGTCTTAGCATGAACAAACAGGAATGCAGCCTGTGTGGCGCATGAGCCCTCTGAAAGTCCACAGTGGAGACAAAAGAGCAAGCAGTGCAACAGCTTAAACCTCAGCATGAGATTCAGGTTAGATAACAGGACAGAAGAGAAGACTGAGAGGGGAAAGAAGGGAAGAGACTGGCATGGCTGAGATGAGAGATGCTGGTCAAACTAAGGAGGAAGAGGGAGCTGCACAGGCAGTGGAAGCAGGGACAGGCATCCTGGGAAGAGTACAGGGACACGGTCCGGTTGTGTAGGAATGAGGTCAGGAAGGCCAAGGCGCAGCTGGAGCTAAACTTGGCTAGGGATGCAAAGAATAATAAGGGTTTCTATAGGTATATCAGCCGGAAAAAGATGGTTAAAGAAAACGTACCCCCGCTGATGAGAGACACCGGCAAGCTGGTAACAGCAGATGAGGAGAAGGCTGATGGGACCGGAGGGGTGGACAGATGCGGCACCACCTCTCCCCTGAAGTGTACCGCATGATCGTGGGGCACCCGGCCCTAAATCATTCATAGACAACCTGATTCTGGGTCAGGGTTTCATACGTAGAAGAGCAGCTCCCTCGCTGTGATCTATTGAGAATCAGCCCTTGACACAAGCTTTTGTAAAAAAAAAAACCACAACAAAACAAAAAAAAAACCCAAAGCCACTCTCCATGATATTTGAAAAGTCATGGCAGTCAGGTGAAGTCCCTGGTGACTGGAAAAAGGGAAACATTGTGCCCATTTTCAAAAAGGGTAGAAAGGAAGACCCTGGGAACTATCGACCTGTCAGCCTCACCTCTGTGCCTGGGAAGATCATGGAACAGATCCTCCTAGAAGCTATGCTAAGGCACATGGAGGCCAGGGAAGTAATTCGAGATAGCCAGCATGGCTTCACCAAGGGCAAGTCCTGCCTGACGAACCTAGTGGCTTTCTATGATGGTGTGACGTCAACGGTGGACAGAGGGAAACCAATGGATGTCATCTATCTGGACTTCTGCAAGGCCTTTGACACGGTCCCCCACAACATCCTTCTCTCTAAATTGGAGAGCTATGGATTTGATGGATGGACTGTTCGGTGGATAAGGAACTGGCTGGATGGTCGCATCCAGAGGGTAGTGGTCAATGGCTTGAT